AACATGGAACTGAAGTCCCCCCTGGGGCTGGCAGCGCCAGCGCGAACGAGTCACTAGTTTTTTTAAGGGCTACAATTGGGCTTCAGCTCGAGGCAAAAACACCAAAGACATAAATTTGGCAGGAGAACAAAGGCATAAATTTGTGGGGCCTAAAAATTGACGTCTCAAAAAACAGTCCTAACGGAAAATAAAAGGAAAATACATGTAAAAAGTGAGTTTGCTATAACATCCACCTACGTATAAAACAAAATTTGCCATGTTTCGAGATTTCAAATACATGAAAAACAGATTGAGCTCGTCATTTGGCATCTGAGGGAGTAATACACCCCGGCCCTCGCGTCGTCCCCTTGGGCGACTCGGGGGCGACTAGTGTTCCGCCGCCGCCGCCACCCCCCTCCACCCCCTTCCTCCCCCTCGCCGCTACCAGAGACAACCGCCGGGAAGCCCGCGCAGACGCCGGTGAAGGTGGCGGCGGGGATCTCGGCGCTCCTCCCCCTCTTGGAGGCTTGTGGTTCCTGGGGCGGCGGCCCTTGCCGGAGAGGCGACGTCGTCGGGCGGTGGGCGGCGTTCGCAGGGGGTGCTGGCCAGCGTGCCCGGCCGCGCGGGCGGCGGGTGGCTGGTGGAATCACGCAGCGGCGTGAACTGCTTCGTCAGATCTGGAGGTGCGAAATCCCTATTCCCTGCTGCCTCTCTCTCGCCTCCGGTGTGGGCTAGCATTTTCTGGCTCCGGCGTTGGTGCGGGTTGGTGGTCAGCTAGGGAACCGGGGGAAACCTTGGCCGGTCCGGCCGGCCCGGCGGCGGCAACGCCCAAGGGCGCTGCTTTCCTCCATGGGGGCGCAGCCGAGGTCCCCTGCTCTCCACCCCGACCTCCCCTGCCCGGGTGAAAACCTTTATCCTCGGCGGATTTGGCGGCGGCGGCGCCTTGCGCATCGTGACCTTGCTGGAGGCGTCGTCAAGGGTGCGGGGCTCTGTCGGGAGGTTATGTAGGTGAGGGATTGCGCTACCTCCTCTGCGTCATTCGATTCCTGAAGCTTGTCTCCAACTAGTTAGGCATGGACTGTGGCGGAGCTGCCGGCGAGGTATATCCCAAATTGATGTGGTCATCCCATGTCCACCTTGCGATGCGAGGGCGACATTCTTCCAGCTCTAGGGTGAGCTTCTCGAAATCCCGACGGTGCGGCGCCTACGAGCCATGGCGAGGGGGAAGGGTCCCTCTTCGGTGATTGAGAGGGAAGATGTTGGTCCCTTTCTTCTCTAGGTGTTCCTGGAGCACGGTCCATCCTCGAAGGTCGGCTATGTCCTAATGCGCTGCTCCGTTTCTGCTACATATGATCCTAGTGTGGAGTGCTCGGTCTTTAATAGCTGTAATTCATTTGTGGCTTGTGGAGGTTGTAGTGAGTAGGCTTTCCAGTGTTCCCCGTTGTATCGTTCTGACCGTTGTAAGTTGGGTTGTCTGCTGTAACTCCTGGTCGATTGATGGCTTTGTTAATTCAAAGCCGGGCTCTTCGCGAGCCTTCATTCTAAAAAAAACAGACTGAAAATTGCAATGACACAATGAAAAAGAATCCACCCATATGTAATACTCCCTCCGTCCCAAAATTCTTGTCTTAAATTCATCTAGATAAGGATGTATCCAATACTAAAACGTGACTTGATGCATCCGTATTTAGACAAATCTAAGACAAGAATTTTGGGACGGAGGGAGTATGAAATTGCCATGCTACAAACAAAAGATAATTTGCCATGGTATATACAATAATTTTTTTGTGATACAAATACATAATAAAACATATGCAGGATAAAATTTGCAATGGTTTTTGTACGAGAAACACATGCAGAGTTCAATTTTGCCTTGGTCCATGGCAACTTTTATGAAAATGTTCTATAGATCATGGGAAAATTAGAGAAGAGTTTGTACTTAATCAAGGAATTTTTTGTTATAAAAAACATGAAAATTGTTGGAAATTTTTGTAATCATAAAAATAATATGAAACCAACCCAAAGGCTAACCCTCGTTGGCTTTTTTTTATAGGAGAAACTCTGCAAGCACCGCGAGCCAGAGCCAAGGCTCAAACGCGGGCGGACTGGCAGCTACCCCAGTTGCCCAACCAACGGGTCGACGCCCCATTCTCAAAATTTTGTAATCATCACATGGCAACTTGTTGAAAAAGATTACTTAACACATGGAAAATTAAGAAATTTTAGGTGTCTATATGTAGGTAAAATTTAGGATATTTCATACTTTGACATGGCAAAAATCAATAAAGAAAATCTAGTGACATGGCAAATTTAGACAAAAAATATGAAGATGTGTAGGGAAGTGTAAGAAAATCTGTACTAATGATATGACAAACTCTTTCTGAAAATGACATGTGAGTAGATCAATCTTTTCTTAAATTTGACATGTGGCAAACACAAATGTACCTACATTTTCCCTTAGATGCAACAAAAAATGTTGTGGTACACATGTTGTATACAACAAATTTTCCATGATCCATGGCAAAAACTAAAAACAAAGTGAACAGAAGCACATAACAAATTTGCCATGATTTTTGTTAAAGTAAACACAAACAGGTAGCAAAAATTACCATGATCCATGGCAGAACTATACAGAAAGCCTATACAGAGTTATGGCGGAAATTAGAAAATATGTCCTCTAATTTATAGCAAAAAAAAAGAAAAGTATGTATGAGTTACATGGTAAATTCAGAGATTTTAGATGTCTATATGTAGGCAAAATGTAGAAAGTTTTGTACTTTGACATGGAAAAATCAATTATATTTTGGATTAGTGACATCGCAAATTCAGACATAAAATGTGAATATTCCTAGGGAAGTGTAATAAAATTTGTACTAGTAACATTCAAAACATTTTCTGAAATTGCCAAGACACTAAATAAAATTTACTTTAAATTGCCCTGCAGCAAACATAAAACTACCTACATTGTATATGCAACAAAAATGCCATGTTAGACTTGTTATATACAACAAAAATTGCCATGTCAACCGCAGAAAAAAATACTAACTTTTACCTCCTGAGTAGTACACATGATGGCAAAAATAGAAAAACATAATAGATATGTGTCATGGCAAAAAAAATATTTTCTCTATTTTTCATGGCAAAAGGCATGACTTTTTTTACGATCACATGGCAAATTTATGGAAAATTTCCTATTTAACATAGCAAAGTGTATATATTTGTCAAAAAAAGGTCACATCGCAAAATTAAAAAATGATTGTTAACTAATAAAAATCATGGCAAATAGACATGTGTGAAAAAAATTGCTTTTCTCCCCATGGTAGTAAAAATTGCCAATCCCTAAGTTCTGCACGTCACAAATCCACAGTTGCATGTGTTGGCAGTTCGTGTTTAGTAAAAATGTTTGTGATGGTCACATGGCAACTTTAAAAAAAATGTAGGTAGCTAAATATACATTATCACCAGATCATGGTTTGGGTTATACATATTTTGCATGAGTTTACTCTAAAATTTGCTACCCCGAACACTTGTATAATGCACCCAAGCTACAAAATGACACTATATGCTAAAACAAATTATGGTATCTATAAGAATGCTATGCATGCAACTATGTTGAGCAAGACCGGTTTGATTGAATTGATAAGCTACTGTCAAATATAAAAACATGTGAATACACAATAGCCATGACACTACATATATGTTTTGGATTTAACAAAATGCCCCCCCCCCCCTACCCCCCTAAAAAT